CAGAAAGCCAAGTTGGCTGCTCCAGCTTGGCCAAGCAGCCTGGTGCAGCACATTGCCATCGCTGCTGGGACATAGACCTCTCTGGGGTATGGGCAGTGTTTTTTCACGGCCAAGATCTGGGCAGGCAATAACTACTGGTCTACTTTGCGCTCCTCTCTCATTTCCCTGGGAAGGGGAGAAGTGTGTTACACAGGTGAAAGAGTGACAGCCGCTCCCAAAATTCACATGGGTTCTCTTGTGCTGTTTCGTTCATTTACTGTAGTTACTGCCTTGACAGAAGCTCAAAGAACAAAGTGCAGCGACTTGCACCCCACAAGTCAGTAGTGAGGCGCAAGGAGGTGCCTGTCAGCATCTTACCTGCTTCAGGCTTAGTTCAGCTCTGCCAGCCCTCCCATAGGCAGCCTCGTGGGCTTCTCCAGCGTGTCAGCTGCAGAGCTGCACCTCCGTCTGCAGAGACCCTCCACTTCTGCTTGGACATGATGATCTCATGAGTGGGTCCAGCAATGTCACCAACAGTGCTGCAGGATGCGCCTCGGCGAGTTTGCCCAGAATCGCCCAAGGAGGTACCCAGGTTTGCCCGCTGGACAGTCTTTTTAGTTTGTTTTGATGTTTTTGCTTTCACGGTCACCAAAATAAGTGGATTGCTGGATGTTCAGCTCCTCCAAGATTTTCATCACATGAAATGAAATGGAATAAAATAAAGCCCATAAAAGAAGTGAAATTCATCAGAGACTATCACAATGACCTGGAAGAATAGACATAAGAAAGTGAGCCTTGTTTAATGATAGCTTACAGTGACAGCCCAAATTTTAATCAATTAACATATGAGCCCATTACTTGAAAGATGCGACGGGCCTGTGGGACAGCATTCAGTATTTCTTCCTTTCTCAGGGGAGCCGCAGGGTATCGGTTGACATCTTGGAAGCACTCCTTCCTCACAGATGCTTTTAAAGCTGCTTTTGTGACTGCAGAAGGCATAGTTAAGCCTTACACATTTAGTTTGTGTATGCTCTTGGGTAGTTTTATACTGTGACCCCCTAGGAGACCTCATTGACCTTCTCACAGCTTCTTGAGCCCGAGGAAAGCTCCGTCAGCCTTTATATTGCCAAGCTTTCTTCAGCACTACGCTTTGGAACAGAGAAACCAAATAGATTTATTGATATAACTATAATCAGAAGTCATAGCCAGGATGATAAAATGGTCAAATGATCAAATTACTTAAAATTAGAGGCATACTGAAGTGCCTCGGGGACCGGGAAGCTGCAGGCAGGCCCCCGGCCTGCCGGCCAGCCACATGGCAGCGGGGTGCGTGCTGCCAGCCCCACGCAGGCAGCGGGGCCTGCACAGCCGACAGCCAAGGGAGATGAGGCCGCTCCGATTTCGTCACTTGTGAAAGAACGAGAAGATGACAGGGCAGAGGCTGGACATGGCCAGGCTGCAGGTTGAGTGTGAGAAGGGAAGCGCTGGCGCTGGGTGCCAGCGAGGAGCAGGACGGGATTTCTTGGCCTGAAAAGCGTTGGGGCGAGGCCCTCTTTGGGGTAGGGGATTCCCGCATCCCATGGGATCTGAAGTCTTGAACACCGTTAGGACTGTCACCTAATGTGTGCCCTGGGGTCCAAGTAGGGGTGTCACGGTTTGGTTCTGCTTGTTTAATAGGAGACAGTCCCACTTCTGTGTTTTCTAATGCTTCAAGAAGCGAAGGCACCTTTACCTATGGCTACAAGGATTTCATTCAGTCAAGTACATTAAGAGCCGTTCATTTTGTATTTGTTACATCACTGGTGGATCCAGCCGAAGGATGATGTATGCTCTGTGGCCATGTGTGCCTGGGCAGGCATGTTTGGAGTAAATGTCCCACGTTTTCTTTGTAGTTTACTCTTCTGGACTTCGAGGGTATGGTTGAATTGGCAGTCTGCTTGTTTCTGTAGTTCGAAAAAATGTGTTTGAATATACTGTCATTTTCCCTGACAAGATGAGCACTGTAAATTAAACAGAGTCAGCAGCCCAGGCACATTAATCTTCCTGATGCAATCCTACCTTTAGCATTTCCTGACATATATTTGATGTGACTTAATTGTGCAGCCTTAAAGTAGGATCGGGGTATATAAGTGTAAAAGCAGTAAGAAACTGCAGATACAAGTTAGAAGCGGTCCGCTGAAAACTGTGCAAGGGGTGGATGACGCACAGATCCTTGCAGCAAGGAGATTGAGGTGGCTAAGTACTGTAGCAGTTTTTTACCACCCTTCTAGTCAACCCTAAAAATCAAGCTTCACGCAGGAAATCCTGTAAGATTTGAGCATATAGTGTCGTCCCCAGGTTGTCCCCTCCTGCTCTCCCTCGTGCACGAGCAATCTGACGTTAGCACAAGTAGCGTGTGGTTCATGGCGCTCGTGTGGTGTGTCCTCTTAGTGCAGCATGCGGCTACAGAGATCTTGCTTGGAAAGGCAGGCTGATTTTGCAGTTAAGGTTTTAGAAAGGGGTGGAGAAAAATCTCGGTTCTGTTCTCACTTTTACTGAAGGAGGTCAGAAAAGTTGTTCTGGAACTGTTTTTTGGGAGATATCAAAAGGTGCAAATAAATGCCTAATGGGTTCTGCAATGGTCTTTGAAATCAGTGGGAGAGAGGTCTCTGAGATTTTAGAAATCCCTCACAAAGTGTTTGCAGGCATCTTTAAGCATATAACCCCCTTTAAAAGTATGTCTAAGTGCCTAACTCTGAGCATAGGTTCCTACATCCCCTAGGCATTTTTTAAATTGCATCCAAAGTTGCTTAGATTTCCCCTAAAGAGCACCATTTTGTTTTAATTTTCTCATTGACTTAATTTTCTCTTGACTTGAGACGTAGTATATATTAACCTATATTCATTTTTTGTAGCAAAATGTAGAGTGAAGCTGTTTCTGAGCTGTCTTATTACAAAAAAGGGAGCATATGGCTGATTGTGTCCCATCTGAAATGCAAATGGTGGAGCTACGTGGAAAGAATTACTGTTGCTTGAGCAGTAAATGTTTCCTAATGAAGTGAGTTTGACTAAGGTGGGAAGCTGGAAACGGCTGCGGGAAGAAATGATATTTCGGTGGAGCAGAACATTCTAATTCCGCTGATAAGGAGGTTCTTAGGAAATGGACTGGATTTTTTTCTTATATTCTGTATGTTCATCAGTGTGGGGAAGTTGTTACACAGGGAGCCAGACTCTGTTCTTCAACTAGTTATGAAATCATCAAATTTAATATATGACCACAGCTTTTCACCATTGGCCTCTTTTGGAGCTCAAGTTTTCTGTATTTTGTGAACATTTGCAGAAATTAGACCTACCCAATGTAAAGAAAGCCTAAAAGAAGACAAGTACTGATTCCACTGATTTCCATCACCCTGGGCACGTTCGCAGAGGCCGGATGCCAAAGGGGATGGTGGAAAAATCTAGCCCACACTGTCTAATTTCCTATGTTTCCTCTTTCCACCAAAGTTTTCCTCTTGCATATATCCCTCTCCACTTCCAGTGGTCGAAGGTGCCCAGATGCCTGGTGCGAATGGGAGGAGAACTGACTTTTAAACACTTTCTTAAATCAAGCGGCGAGGCTAGAGGCTGACATTTCCATTACTTAACTTTCCAAAGGGAGAGCTGTCGAGTCGGTGCAGTGAGGTTCAACGCGAATAGTGGGCTGGAGGTAGAGCATCAGCTGTATTACATTGCCGTAAATGTCAGAAGGAGCCAGGAAGAGCTTAGATAGCCGCGTGTGCACAGCTATGTGCTCAGAAGAGCTGGAGCAGCTGCCAAGTTAGACCTCTGGCCTTGTCCCCGAGCAGGATCACATCGGTGCTAACGCAAGCGTTGGTGAGCCTGAGCTGTCTGTTACATGGCACAGTCGAGGGACAGAAGATTAGCATGCCTTTCCCTTGCCCATGCCCAAGGGTGTCTGACATCACTAATGATGATGAAATAGGAGAAACCTAAAGAAAAAAGGAGAAAGTAATTAGGCTTCTGCTGTTGGTGAAAGTAATTAGGCTTCTCCATCTTCTGAGCAATGGCGAGGCTTGCTGGGGTCAGGATGTGTCCACGTGAGTGTGTTATTCAGATCCGACCTGGCTTTCGAAGTGACCCCCACACTGTGCTTTCGGTTCATGTCTTGGGGCGGCCCAGGAGCTCACGAGCTGGGTTGTTGTGGCTCTGGAGATGCCCCTAAGCTCCCCGAGGACAGGGCTGCCGCTGCCCTGCCTGCGCTTGCCCACGCGCTACTCGGCCGTGGGATCCTTGGCGCTGCACAGAGCACATTGCCAGGTGGGGAGCGGGCACTGTCCTTCCTGGGTGACACCTGGGTAAGGCTTTTTCGTTGCTGAGTTATTCAAAGGCTTTATAAAGCGCTTGTGCACAAAGTCTTTCCCAAAAACAGCATTCCCCTGATTTTAATACTGAGTAGGCCCACGGCGTCCAGGAGCTGGGGACATCCTGCCACCCCTAAGCACAGAGCAGAGGACCGTCCCATGGCTAGTGTCAGTCTCAGTCTTGGCAGGTGGTTTCATCCCAATAGGGTGAAATGAGGCTTCAGTATCACATACTTCGTGCTGTAATTATTATCAGAATTAAATCATAAATCAATATAAAACCGCATTATGGGCAGCATCTCAACAGAGGTGAATTTTGGGACGTCTTTAATTGCAGGAGGGCACAGCAGCTTGAATTACCTGCATATCTGCTTGGGTGTTCTTTGGTTTACAAGAAATTACAAGTGGTGACGTTGTGTGGCATAGTTTTCCATTATAACCCTCTTTTTTATCTTTCCTTTTGCTTGCTTTTCTTTTCTGTGTCTCTTCCCTCTCCCTGCATTCCATTTCCATCCAGAAATACAAATGACCTCTTGACAGAACTTTCCACCTTCATTCTGTTGATTTGCATTGTGCAGTCAGGAAAATACAAACACTTTTATTTCTGAGATGTATTTATGATATCATGAAGAAACTTTCTCATATTAGCCTTTTCTTTTTTCTCTTTCTTTATCTTTTCAGGTGTGTGTGCAACATTGACTGTTCTCAAACCAACTTCAATCCTCTTTGTGCTTCCGATGGGAAATCTTATGATAATGCATGTCAAATCAAAGAGGCATCATGCCAGAAACAGGAGAAAATTGAAGTCATGTCTTTGGGTCGATGTCAAGGTAACTCTCATAACAAAACTCATTTCAAAGAATGTTTTCAATTTTTGTTCAGAAAAAAAAAAAAGAACGGGAGCTGGCTTCTTATTTGGCACTTCTTACATTTCCATTAGACTCTTGCAATTTATATTGTAGAGCGCAGGCTGCAGGAAGGGGCAGAGCCCTCCACGGTACAGATGCCAAGGGAGGCGCGAGGATTGGTGTGTGTAACCCTTCCCGCACCCTGCCTGCAGTGGCCAGTGACTATCCAGCCCTGCACCCGTGTCAACATCAGGCATCTGGATTTTGCCCAGGGCAGCTTTCCCAGAGCTCTTCCCTCCGGGTAGGAGTTGGAGCAGGAGAGCAGGAAAGCCTCTCAGATACATTTTGCCGCCTGGGATAGATCCTCTGTTTCTCCCTTAACTGGAGCAGCACGAAGCAATCTCAGGAGGCCAAAGACATGCTCCGAAACACACTGCTGGTCCTAGTTTCTCGTGTGACCGGTCCTGGGCCCACGAGATGCCGAAGGTGCCTGGAAGGAAATTTTGGCAATACCAGCTCAAGACTCTCTGTGTTTCTCTATGAATGCCATGCTTCTCTGTACCCAGCTCATGGGTTTCTACATCACCTGTAACCCTTGAGTTGACTTTAAAAACTCTATTTTGTTCTAAAATAAAAATGAAGAAAATTTGCCTTTAAATAGCTCCCGTAAATAAAGTGTCTACTGAGGCTCAGACTCTTAATAGCTTTTTTCCCCTTAGCTTCTGACCTATAAATCCTCAGTACATCTACTTACAAGGCCGTACTATACAGGTGTATTAAACACATTCTGGTTTATTCCTGTCTCTTTAAAGTTAACAACCCTACGTGGCAGTTCATTTCAGGGTACATATTAAAACTCCCCAATTACTTCAAATAGAGCAGAAATGACAAATCCTGTTTCATACTGATATATTTATCCCAGCTGCAATCTGTTATCACATATTGTTAGAAAAAATGTGTTTTCTTAATGGAAGATGTTTCATGTTTCATTGCAAAAAGCCAGATCCTGCTGTTTTCACCTGGCAGACCCAGGGGAGCCTTGCAGCCAGCAGCGATGCTGTGCATGCAGGCGAAGCTACGTTTGCCTGGGCACTGGTGGCTGGGGCATAGTCTGTATCAAGTACAGGCTCCCCAGGCAATTCAACCTGTTTCTTTTCACACAGATAACACTACAACAACTACAAAATCGGAAGATGGGCATTACGCAAGAACAGATTATGCAGGTACGGTTCCTATTCTGTGAAAATCACAATTCGCAGGAACTATGTAAGTCTCTTTTCTCCTCTCTTTGCTAAAGTGAGGTGTCCTCATCTTCTAGTATGGTTTTCTTGGTTTAGTTTAAGCTTAACTGTCTGTCTTTTGCTGGAAAATCTCTTCTTAATAAATGGGCTTCTTCCATTTTTGTCAATGTACAGGTATTCTGGCCATAAAACACCTGCTCTGACCGTGAAAATAAGTATTGTAAACTATTTGCCAGAATTAGCAGATGTTCACTGAAAATTATTGAATCAGTGCACTAGATTATGCATATTTTTGTCAATATACAGGTTTAAGAAAGTGAAAATCCAGAGCATAGCACAGCTTTGATACCATGAAACGTTGCCATAATAGATAATATTACCTGTCAGTGTTTAACTATGAAGTTAATAAGGTTCTTAAAATGTTTGTAAGTGACAAATGGTTTTAATTTATTTAGAAGCTACAATAAAATATAACGGCTGAATAGCCTTGTATGGTGTTTGAAATTAAAAACATGTAAATACTAGTGAGGTTTGGGAGACATTTTTTACACCCTTTGCCTGGGAGGATTGATTTAGAAATTGAATGTGTGTGTGTGCACGCACGTGCATGCAAATATTCACAGCTCGCACTGAGAATTCAAGCCTTTGGGAAGGTACTGTGAAAATGGGTCAGGTGATGCATTCATTGCTTAAGTTTGTGATTTTTTTGTGTTTTGAAAGTATTTAAAGAGAGTAGGTGCAGATCACTGGGTTTACCCGAGCAGCTTACCGCGTGACTTAGGTGGAATCCAGCTGGTGGTTTCATAGGTCTTAACATTTCTCACCGGGAGAGTCCTCTGGCGGTAGTTAGTTCAGATGGTCTTCTCTTGTGAGGGCCCTGTGTGCATGACGTCCCTGCGTTAATAGGATACCCAGCCGTTAGAAATGATTGTTCTGTTCCTACTTAAAAATGGTGCTTGATGATTAAAACATAGGGCTATGAATAAATGATGTCTCGGTGAGGCAGAGGAGTGCTAGGTGTTGGGGGTGGCTGCAGCATGAGGCAGAGAAAGTATAAATTTCTATGGAAAGTAAAAGCTGGGATTAATTGCCGAAAGATAAAAGATGAGCCATGGTCCAGGTATTTCCTACTGCCAAGGAGCCCTTCCACAGGTGAAGAGAGAGTCATGCAAAGAGAGAAAAATCTTCAGTCTCTTTCCCTAAAAACCTTGATTGCTCTCAGCTTTTTTCTGCGAGGCAGCAGTCAGTTTTCTTAAAAGGCTGGAAGGGCTGAGGTTGTATCCTGTGTTGGGCAGGAGATATGGCCAAGTAGGCCAAAATGATTTATTTTAAGTTAGATATAAGGGCAAATAAGATTGTCGTCTTAAATCCTTTATCTTCCTTGCTGGAGAACTGAGGAGAGCACTGGCATCCCCAAGTCAAGATGGCGGCCTGCAGCCCCTGTTTAAATGTTGTGCAACCTGTCCTACTCTGCTGCTGTCTGGTGGTTCAGCTTTAGGATGGCAGCGACCCACATCACTTAGAGAGGAGACAGCACATTTAAGCATGAAGCAACTGAGTTGTGACAAGAAGGGAGGAAAGGCACGTTGCGGGTTAGGGAGGAGGAGGAGGAGATCACAGCGATGACAAGAGAAAGCCAAGTCACGGGTCACAGAGGAAGAGGCGCACAGAAGGCACCTTCAGCTCAAGTAGGCAGGAGGGAGAGAACGGTGCTTGCTTAGGAGAGAGATGATATTTCAGCCCACACTTGAGAGGAGAGATGGTGGGTAGAAGAAAACTGATTGCAGCGAAGTGTTGTCAGGTGTTGGGAGTCGAGCAGGGAACCCAGGAGGAAACTGCGTTACTGGGCAGGGAGGAGGGCAGAGCTATGGCACAGAGGAGCGGGTCTGTAGTAGAGATGGTCTCCAAGTGCTGAGAGGTCAGAAGGAATGTGGGAACAGATGGTCCATCGAGAGGTGATGGGGGCCTGTGGAGAGGAGACAGGGTACCTCACTCCCCTAGAGCCATGGGAGGGATGGAGACATCCTGAATCAGCAGTGAGGTCCAGTAGGTTCCTCTTTGGCACAGAAAGGTGCCATCATTGCACCTTTGCAAGCAGCTCCTCGAGGCTTCTGGTAGGGCTCAGGCCCCAATGGGCTTTTCAAGGGCAGCAACTATGTCCCCTAGGTGGGTCTCATCAGGTATCGTCCACTGGTTTAACATGAAGCACAGTCGCTTGCACCAGCTGATGTCTTCTTTTTGTGCACCTAACTATTACTCTTGCTTAAATTTTTCATTTTTACATACAGTGACAGCGTGTAGGGTGGAAGTTGCAAGATCATGGAGGGCAATCCACACGTGTCCAGTGTCCCCAGATGTTTGCGGCATGATCCTGCCGGGACACCCTTGGGGGAGAGGGACCGCTGTATCAAAAATCTGTAACAATTCCAGCCTTTTGGAACTAGTTGGTGAACAGGAAGACAGCAGTATAACACTGAGGCTCAGTGAACATTCAGGCTTCAGCTGTTGCCAGGCAGGAAGCTCCATGCCATCCTCATGTTCTTTCAAGTGCAGAAACATTTGATGGTGGCTATTATAGGAATGTGGTATGTGCTACTTTTTTTCCCTACCTTCCTATCTCCTCAGAAGGGAAATGCTACCCTGACCATGGGGAGCTTTGTGTGAAAAAGCAGCAGTTCCTCAGCCGTTTGTGCCTCTGAAGCAATTTCCCCGAACCTGTGCCTTTCCAGAGAATACCTTTGTTCTCTACCATTTAATGGCACTAAAAATCGCCAAGACCGTGAGCACTACACGCTTTTAAAAACATTGACTCGTATGGACTGACTTTCCCAGGGGAGAAAATAGCAATGGGCATAATTGATGTGTCAATTATGCTAATGCAGCAGTGCCAAATGCTCTTTGCAGAGATTGCGGTAGGTGAGTGGTGCGGGTTTTTCCATGAACAGCCCCGCACACCCAATGTGGCGGCCCAGGAAGGCAGCAGCTTCGCAAACGACTGCAAGTCCCAACACCTAGCTGATTTTTTTCATATTGAACTATTCAAACCTTCTGTTCACACAGCGTCTTTGCTCCCTCCTGCTCTTTCAAGCCCATTGGTACTTGCAAACAACACGCAAACCTTTCAGTTTGCAAAACCGAGAGTATTCGTTCCTGTGGAGCGTAAATCTTTGCATTAAATTTGCGTTGCCTTGTTTTTTTAAGGGCTCTTACTTTACACAGGCAAGATTTACTCTAGTATTGGAAACGCCTGACTGGTGTCGAAGTCACCCAAAAAGCAGTGTCTCCTTTTTCAGCAAAGGAGATGTGGGGACGGTGAGCCGTGGGTGACCCTTTTCTGACGGTGTCCGCCTCTCCAGGTTCACCAGTCTGCTTTTGCCCTGGCTGCGTGTGCAATACGTGTCAGCACAGCGTCTGTACACACGTGTGTTTGTATCTCTTCTTGTGCAATTCTGGCCTGTCATTTTTCTGAAACCCTAAAGTATTCATCAGACTTGGGACGATTTTCACTTTTTTCAACAAATGGCAGATTGTTGACGTTGACCAAGTTTGTGAAATAAGATTTGGTTTTAGTCAATAAATGAACGGGTGGCATTTTTCCCTCAAATCCACTATATCTTGCAATTTCCATGAAACAGCATTTTTAAACATTTTAAGTATAATGTATGTTTTGGAATGTAGTGTCTGAGCTGAAAGTCCTGTGATTGATGTTTTCTTGAATTTCCTCATTATATGTGTAAAGAAGTTGGCTGTTTCAGTGGCATTTTTGCATTCAGTCTAGGCAGTAAAGGAGCTTTCATTTTGTGTATTCATTTGCCTATTTATTTTTATTCTTCAATATTTATATCCCTTCTTAAGAGCTGGATATTAGCAATTATCCCCCTAGCTGATTTTATCCTTTCTCATTATCAAATTACAGATATTTTTTTCAAGCCATTTTGAGCACTATAAAGAATAAGTCAGTATGGATGAGCCATATTTCAATGTTATATATTCATGAAAATTGTCAGCAAAGACACTGACAAATTTGATAGACCTATTCAATAATACCATCTTCCAGGCCAGACAAACCTCCCTATAAGAGCATTGATTAGATCAAGTCTCAGCAGCCGAACGCCGGCAGCGCAGCGAAGCTGATGGAAAGGGGAAGGAAGCATTTTCAGCCCCGACAGTCTCCTTCGGTGAAAAACGCACATCCGCCAATGGTCAGTTTGAGCCGTATTTGTGGGTTCCTCGATGGCAGAAAACTCTGCTTTGGCAGCAGCCTCAGGCGGTGCCTTCTGCGGTCTTGGCTAGTCCGGGGACTCTCTTGCAGGCAGTGCCGTGGCCCCGCTGGGTGATGCTGTTGCTGTGCCCAGGAGGCATGAACGAGCATAAAGTGCTGCACCTCTGCTCATGGATGCTCTCTTCCCTGCTCTCCCCTGTGGTTTCCCGTGGGATTTCAAATCTACACGACAGGCTTGGATCTTTTTCAGACTGCTTTCTGGCACTGGAACCTTCCTGGCAGTACTGGAGGTGCTCGGGCGAGTAATCCGGCAGATGGCTGTGTTGCCCGAGCAAACTGAACACTCCACCAAAAAGGGCAAAATCCATCTGTATCAACACATCATTTTCCTTTGGCTGGGCCAGGGCTGTGGGATGAAGGCCACGGGAGCCATCACAGATTTCCCACTCCAAGGATAAAGAAGAGTCTTGAACTCTTCAAAGACTTTTTTCAAAAGTCCAAGAGTTTTTGGGCTCCAAAACAAATATAAAGTAATATTTATGTTTGAGAAAACTACCCTAAAACTTTACTAAAGTCCGCCACTCTGCATCGTTAACTTCTTAGTCCCCTGAACAGGAAGAACAAGCCGTGCCTGTCACAGAGAACGTGGAGGACTGGCAGCGGTGCACTGACCCAGCACATGTGAGAAGCACTGGGATGTGATGCCTCCCTTTCTTCACAGGCTCGATACAGAGCCCGCCGAATTCAGTCGCAGTCATCC